AAGAGGACCCCAAACAGGGTCAGAAGAAACCAAAATAACTGATTTCCCTCAAGTTTGACACATGTATGCATTCTCGCATTTGGGGCTCCCGCTGGCTGAAGACGCCCTAATAAGAATCCAAGATGGTTCCAAGACGGCCCAAGAGGCCCTCAAGAGAGTCCCGAGAAAGGCCAAAAAGACCCAGCGATCGATCAAGAGGCTGTCAAGACGACCCCACAACGGCCCAAGAGGGCCTCAGGACAGAACCAAGACGGCCGTAGAAGGCCCATCGACGGCGCAAGATGACCCGACAACGGCTCCAAGACACCCGCCATGCGGCCGTAAACGCCTCAAGACGGCTCAAGAGATACACAGACGGCCTAAGAGGGCCCCGAGACGGCACAGGATGGCCCCAAGGGACCCCGAAACTGCCCCACAGGAGCCCAGGACGGCCCCGAGACGACTCGAGTAAGCTCCATGAGAACTCCTTACTAAGATTAAAAGAGGAGGGCCACATTCCACATGTGGCCGCCTTCCTCTTCCTCCTTCTCCTCCTCCTCCTCCTCCAACAACAACTCATCAGCATCGTCATCATCATCATCACCATCATCAGCATCATCATCAGCACCGTCATCAGCATCATCAGCAGCATCGTCACCACCACCACTATCATCATCATCGTCATCATCGTCATCATCACCATCGTAATTATCATACTCACCACTACCACCACCACCACCACCACCACCATCATCATCATCATCATCATCATCATCATCATCATCATCATCATCATCATCATCATCATCCGCATCATCAGCATCATCATCATCATCATCATCATCATCATCATCAGCATCTTCATCACCATCATTGGCATGATCATATCATTCCTCCTCATCCTTCTCTTCATCCTCGTCCTCCTCATCATCGTCATCATCCGAATCTCATCCATCATATTCACCATCACCACCACCATCATCATCAGCATGTTCAACGCACACAGATTCCGCATCCGCCCCTTCATCAACATAATCATCATCATCAGCATCATCATCTCCTTCATCATCATCATCATCGTCATCATCATCATCATCATCATCATCATCATCATCATCCGCATCATCAGCATCATCATCATCATCATCATCATCATCATCATCAGCATCTTCATCACCATCATTGGCATGATCATATCATTCCTCCTCATCCTTCTCTTCATCCTCGTCCTCCTCATCATCGTCATCATCCGAATCTCATCCATCATATTCACCATCACCACCACCATCATCATCAGCATGTTCAACGCACACAGATTCCGCATCCGCCCCTTCATCAACATAATCATCATCATCAGCATCATCATCTCCTTCATCATCATCATCATCGTCATCATCAGCAGCAGCATCGCCAACCTTATTGTCATCATCATCAGCTTCAGCAGCATAATCATCAGCATAATCATCATAACCACCATCATCATCATCATCATCGTCATCATCACCATCGTCAGCATAACCATCGCCATCAACATCATCAGCAGCATCATCATCATCCTCATCATCATCATCAGCAGCAGCAGCATCATCAGCATCATGTTCTTACTCCCCCTTCTACTCATGGTTGCTTGACGCGAGACTAGGGCCAGGTACACCTCAACGCGCGCTGGCAGGCTGGCGAACGCTCTGAACCAACCGACGATAGAAGGACCCTGTGCCTCTGCCAGCGAATCGGCCTTCGCCGACGGGTCGCTCACGTGGGTGCGACTTCTCGTCAGCGCTGGACCAGAACCTCCTCCGCCTCCTCCTCCTCCTCCTCCTCCTCCCCCCTTCTCCTCCTTCTCCTCCTCCTCCTCCTCCTCCTCCTCCTCCTCCTGCTCCTCCTCGTCTTCCTCCTCCTTCTCCTCCCTCCCTTCTCCTCCTCCTCCTCCTCATCATCATCATCATCCTTCTGTCTTCCCTCCTTCCCTCCCTCCCTCCCTCCCTCCTTCCCCCCCTCCCCCCACCCTGCCCTCCCTTCCCCTTCCCCCCCTCCCACGGCGACGAATGTTCCTCCCCTGCCGCGGCGTCGGGCAGCCGGCAGGGCCCCCGCGGGCGCCAGCCCGGCAGCGAGGCGGCGGCTGGGCGCTGGGGGCGCGGCGGCGCCAGCGGACGTGGGCGAGGTGCCGCTGCCCGCGGTGCCCAGGACGGCTGCTGCCGCAGCGCGGACTTCCCGCGCCAGGAAACCTGCTTCATATATTTGCCGCGATAACGGCCGTCTCTGGCCCCGCGACCCCCACCCACCAGGTGACGTCGCGTTCCGCGCCAGCGGCGTCCGGCAATGCCCAGGGACAACCGAGGCCAGGTAGGAGCAGCATGTGGCTGGCGATCTGCATCACAGCGCCTGTGTACACCACGGTGCTCGCGTTCACCACAACGCGCGTGTACACCGCAGCGCCTGTGTACACCGCAACAGCCGTGTGCAACGCAGCGCCTGTGTATACCACAGTGTTTACGTGAGCACAGCGCCTGTGTACACCACAGCGAATGTGTACACCGCATCAGCCGTCTGCAACACAGCGCCTCTGTACACCACAATGCTTGCGCGCACCGCAGCGCCTGTGCACACCACAGCGCCTGTGTACACCAGAGCATCCGCGTGCAACACAGCGTTGGTGCACACAGCAATGCTTTCTTGCACAGGACAGGAAGAAGGAGCATGTAGGCGAGGATGTACTGCGGACAGGTAGCCACCACGCAACAAGAGTGCAGACAATGGACTACGAATTTCTCCCCCGCTCCCTCCTCCTCCTCCTCATCCGAATCCTCCTCCTCATCCTCCTTCTTATCCTCCTCCTCCTCCTCCTCCGCCTCCTCCTCCTCCTCCTCCTTCTTATCCTCCTCCTCCTCCTCCTCCTCCTCCTCCTCCTCCTCCTCCCCCTCCTCCTCCTCCTCCTCCCACTCCTCCTCCTCCTCCTCCTCCTCCTCCTCCTCCTCCTCCTGCTCCTCCTCCTCCTCCTCCTCCTCCTCCTCCTCCCTCACCCTTGCCCCCGTTGTGCGGGTCGGCGCTACAGCACACGTGCACATCTCAGTGCGCATTCCAGAAGAATGGTCGATTGAATCAGTCCACGTGATTCTCGGACGGCCAAGTCTGCGAGAGCCTTCTGGATGCAGATGGGAGGAGGCAGGATGATGCGGGAGGACGCGGGAGGACTCGTAGCTTCCAGATTCCAGAGGCGCTCCTTTGTCCATAAGGACTCATTTCCAAATCCTATAAAATAAACCTATGTTTGCTGCGGAATTTACAGGCATTCCATTTTGTCATAAGGACTCCTTCTGCAATTATATATATACAACAATGGTGTTATGCTGCACACGGCTGCTGTGGTGCACACAGTCGCCGTGGTGTACCCAGGCGCTGTGGTGTACGCAGTCACCGTGGTGTACACTGGTGCTGTGTTGCGTACGGCTGCTGTGGTGTACGCAGGCGCTGTAATGTACACAAGCGGTGTGGTGCCCGCAGACACTGTGGTGCACATTGGCGCTGTGTTGCGCGCGGCTGCTATGGTGTACATAGGCGCTGTGGTATACACAGGCGCTATGGCGCACGCGGGCACTGGCTCACACAGGCGCTGTGGTTCAGATCGCCACGTACATGCTGCTCCCACCCGTCGTCGGTTATTCCTAAGCATTCCCGGACGCCGCCGGCGCGAAACGTGACGTCACCAATCTCCCCCCCCCCCCTGTGACGCCCGTTATCGCCCTGGAATGAAAAACCGGCTCCAGGTGAGCTTCGAGGATGAGGCGTAGGTAGAGTGCCTCGTCCACGTGAAGCGCCACCGAGGCCGTGAGGCAAGGGCGCCTGGGGCGCCGTCGAGCCTGGCGCGGTGCGGGATGCAGGCTAAGCCTAGGTATGCCTACGGCAGGGAGGTGTGGGGTGGGGGGGGGCCCAGTTGGGTGAGCGCGTTGGTCAGGCCCATCGAGCAGGGTTGCCGCTCCAGGTTTTCCTCCTTCCTCCTCCTCCACCTCCTCCTTCTCCGCCTCCTCCTTCTCTTAACCCTCCTTTACCTTCTCATTCTCATTATCCTCCTCGTCATGATGTTCATCATCCTCATCACGGACTTCCAAGCCTTGGGATACGAGGTGCCCCTTCGAACAGTCGCCAGCCAGAATGCTGGGCTGGCACGGTGGTGGGACTTGCCGCAGGCAGCTGAATAACATATCACCTTAGTGCCTCTCGCGAGCTTTCCGTGCTCGAATGTCTCGTCCTTCCAAACCTCAAAACGAGAGCAGGAAGAAGAGGATGTCAGGAGTGGGCAAGACGAGCGTGGTTTAAGGAGGAGTGAGAGGGAGGAGAGGAGGGGTAAACAAACACTACCTCGAACGTGCCCCCAGCCGACGACTCCCAGATATGCTGCTCGTCGTCATTGCTCTTCGAAACGACCCGCACCTTTTCGGAGACGAGGTAGGCACTGTAAAAGCCAACTCCGAACTGGCCAATCATCGACATGTCGGCGCCTTGTGAGACTGCCTCCATAAAGGCTTTCGTGCCAGATTTAGCAATGGTGCCTAAATTGTTGATCAGCTCGTTCCGCGTCATGCCTATACCAGAATCTTCTACGCAGACGCTGCGAGACTCTCTGTCCGGGGTGACGCGGATGCACATGTTGGGATTCGTCGCCAGCTTCTCTGGATTCTGCGCTGCCTGGTACTGGATCTTATCCATTGCATCCGAAGCATTGGAGATCAGCTCTCGCAAGAAGATCTCCTTGTTCGAGTAAAACGCGTTGATGATAAGGCTCATGAGCTGAGAAATGTCGGCGTTGAAGGCATACGTCTCCATCTCCTCGGCCGCCATGCCTGTGTGGACTCGACCCCTCCCCAAACAGAGTGCACCGTTTCCCGAAGCAGCTGCCAAGAAAATCTCGAGCCACACGCACAGACGAAATGGCGCTTGCGCGGTGAGACCTGCGACAGGGAAGAAGCGAGGACGACAGGAAGGAGCGAACAACGCGGCGAGGCAGGACGTAGATGTTAGGGAGGGGGAGAGTGGGCGAGAAGCACTCGAGGCGGACGAGCAGTCGGACAGGTAGACTCGGAGGCGAGGCGGAATGCCGAGACCCTCATATTGCGCTCCCGCCGGCGGGATTTGTTTTTGTCGCCAGTGCAGGCTGGTCGTGCACAATCAGGTCGCTCCGTCGGGATCTGCTTGCAACGATTGCAACCGTAACGTCTGTCCAGACAAGGCCCCCAAGCCCCGAAGAGGCCCCCTGAAGCCCCCCAAAGGCCCCCAAGAGTTTCAAAAAATACATCCAAGACGCACGCAGACAGCTCTAGCACAAAGTGTTTCAGAGAGTGCGCCAAATCGGCGAGGTGTCAACCTGGTTCCAGACGGCCCAAAAAGGTTCAAACAGCACCCCGACGAGCACTCCGAGAGGTCACATGTAAATATTTCCCTTGAGTTTTTGTTACGGATTTCGGGCTTCCAAGGCTCCCAGACGGGTCAAAAGGCTCCCCAGACCGCCGTCAAGGCGGCTCTAAGAGGGGAGGCGTCCACGACAATCCAAGACCAATCCAAGAGGACCCGCAAGAGGGCTCCATCCCCTCAGGAAAACTTGCACTGTTTAGTAGATTCCCTACCTAGGCTCTGCCTAGAAGGGTTCTTACCCTCTTAGCTTAAACGGGCCGGGCAGTGTAACTCGCCCCGGGCGGTTCCCCCGACATCCGCCCCGCGGTTGCCCCAGTTACGTCCCCTTAGCTTAGCGTTGCTTATCTCATCGTTTAGCTTATTTCATCTTAGCTTAGCTTGGCTTCATCTTAGCTCAGATTTATCTTAGCATAGTTTACCTTCATCGTAGCTTCGCTGAGCTTTAGCATAGCAGAGCACAGCATAGCACAGCATAGCATAGCATAGCGCAGCATAGCATTAGCATGGGTGTAATTCCCTGCCTAGGCGCTGCCTAGAGGGTTAGCTTAGCTCAGCTTAGTATATCATAGCGCAGCGCTGCATTAGCGTGGCATAGCATATGCTAGCATAGCCAATCATAGCATAGCATAGCATAGCATAGCACACAATAGCATAGCGCAGCATAGCATAGCATAGCATAGCTTAGCATAGTATAGCATATACTAGCGCAGCTTAGCATCACATAGCAAATCATATCATATCTTAGCATAGCACAGCGCAGCATGATACCTCATAGCTTAGCATACCATAACATAACATAACATAACATAGCATATCATAGCGCGGCATAGCATAGCATAGCATAGCATAGCATAGCATAGCGACTATTGCTGCTTTCCTAGGGGCTCCAATTTCTAGGTAGGGTCGCACTGGGGTAATTCGCCTTTTTGGTTTTAGCACAGTCAAAGACAATCCCAGAGGTCTCCAAAAACGCCCACTGACTGCCCATGAGGCTCTCAAGAAAGCCCCAAGACGGCCCAAGAGGGCCCCAAGATGGACCAAGAAACAGGCAATCTTGGTCCGTCGGGACGGCTGTCTGATCGGTCTGGGACCTGTTTGGCGGCCCCTAACAGCAGGCCCCAGCCCCGAAGCGCCCCGAAAAGAGTTAGGACCCCACCCGGCCAAAAAAATGATACGGGGGAGGGGGGAAGTTCTGAAAAGTGTGCCGGCCCGGGCTCTGGGGTCTCAGGGGGCCTCTTGGGGCGTCCTGGGCTGTCTGGGAACGCTCATGGGGCCCTCGAAGCGCGTCCTGGAGGTGTCCTGGGCAGTCTGCAGGTCTGGAGGCTGTGATGTCCGGTCGCGGGACGCCCTGGGGCCGTCGCGGAGCTCCGGAGGCCGCCCGGGGGGGGCCCACAGGGAGGCGGAGGCAGCTCTGCACAAGCGGGTCAATACCCTCTGGCGCCCAGGGGCCTGGAGCTCCCCTGAACATATACACGTGCAGTTGTTTCTGAAGGATCTCTTGGAAACCCTACGGAGGCTCTCTTCGGACGTTTCTGGGACCTGTTGGGCCGTGATGGGGGCACCTTGAGCTCGAAGACGGTCCAAGATCGCGTCAGGACGGCCGTTCATCGCCTCTCCTCTCTGAAAGCTTCGGGATCGCCATGAGTGCCTCAGGGCGTCTGGGCAGGAGGCTGATCGAAGAAGAACGGGTACGGGAACGAGGGGTAGGAGAGGGGTGGAATGGAGGGCGGGGGGGGCGAAAGGCCATCGCGGAAGCAGCAGCGTGCATGGAGAAGGCGAGGCGGGGAATAGGACGACGATGAAAGTGGCGGGAGGAGACAGAAGACTGCCGCGTTTTTCAAGCGCGAGCTAAACCCGCAGCGCTGCCTGCGCCATGTCGTCGCAGAGTTCCACATGATAAAACTTGTTTAGAGTGCAAGGAACGAGCGAGGCGTAGCTCGCCCGCTAGCTTCTCCGCCTCCTTCCCGCACATTTCAGCGCGGGAGCTGAACGCTCGCAGGCGCGCCGCCAGGTCTGCGGGCGGCCCGCGGGAAAGAAACTCAAGGCCGGGGTCGCGCATCATCAATCGGTTGTCCATCGTCCAAAGTTGCACTGGCGACGTACTGGTTGAACGCGGAGCGAGCAGCATCACGCGCGTGCCTGAACGCCACGCAGGTACAGTGCACGCGCGATTGGGACTTCAGGTCGATCACGCGCGTCTCCACCAGGCTTGGCAACACCACGCGACTGAGGATCTCACTGCGGTCTGCCATGCTGCTGTCCGCGAATGCAATGCGCTGCCTGCAAGTAAGGCGGCGGCGTCCACTTGTCTCAGAAGATGTTCCCGCGGGCCCGAAGGGCGACCGCCAGCTCGAGCCGCGGCGCCGGCAGGCCAGATAAGGATCATGCAACAGCAAAGACGATGACAGAGCAACGAGGTATCGGCGAGTGCATGACCGGCCTCCGTTTCCTGCACTTCTTTCCTGTAGTTCCCCTAGCTCATCGAGCTCAGCAGATGTTTCTGCGGGTCCGAAGGACGACCGCCAGCTCGAGTCGCAGCGCCGACGAGCTGCATCCACATCAGGCAACACCCCAGGAGACACTGGCACACAACGATTTGACGTCAGTCAGTGCCAGACCACTCCATGTCTAGTTCCTCGCACACATACAGTCGATCGCAGATGCGGGATAATCGAAGTAGAATGACGGGTCCAATCTGCGTCCGCGTAGGACGTCACTATGCTGGACCCCGCAGCAGGTCTCGAAAGTGGCGACAGTTTCGTGGGCCCCACAGCAGCCCTCGAAAGTGGCGACAGTTTCGCAGATCGTAGCCCCCCAGGGATGGCGAGGTCTAATCTGAATCTGCGTGGTGCCTCACCCCGCTGGACCCACCCTCAGCCCTCGAATGTGGCGACAGTTTCGCAACCAGCAGCCCTCGAATGTGGCGTCAGTGTCGCAGATCGCAGCCCCCCAGGGACGGCGAGGTCTAATCTGAATCTGCGTGGTGCCTCACTCCGCTAGACCCACCCTCAGCCCTCGAATGTGGCGACAGTTTCGCAGATCGCAGCCCCCCAAGGATGGCGAGGTCTAATCTGAATCTGCGTGGTGCCTCACTCCGCTGGACCCACCAGCAGCCCTCGAATGTGGCGTCAGTGTCGCAGATCGCAGCCCCCCAGGGATGGCGAGGTCTAATCTGAATCTGCGTGGTGCCTCACTCCGCTGGACCCACCAGCAGCCCTCGAAAGTGACGACAGTTTCGCAGATCGCAGCCCCCCAGGGACGGCGAGGTCTAATCTGAATTTGCGTGGTGCCTCACTCCGCTGGACCCACCAGCAGCCCTCGAAAGTGACGACAATTTCGCAGATCGCAAACCCCCAGGGATGGCGAGGTCTAATTTGAATCTGCGTGGTGCCTCACTCCGCTGGACCCACCAGCAGCCCTCGAAAGTCGAGGTCTAATCTGAATTTGCGTGGTGCCTCACTCCGCTGGACCCACCAGCGGCCCTCGAAAGTGACGACAGTTTCACAGATCGCAGCCCCCCAGGGATGGCGAGGTCTAATCTGAATCTGCGCGGTGCCTCACTCCGCTGGACCCACCAGCAGCCCTCGAAAGTGGTGACAGTTTCGCAGATCGCCGCCCCCCAGGGATGGCGATGTCTAATTTGAATCTGCGTGGTGCCTCACTCCGCTGGACCCACCTGCAGCCCTCGAAAGTGGCGACAGTTTCACAGATCGCAGCCCCAAGGGGATGACGTAAAAGGCAAGAGAGAAGAGGAGGAGCGAAGAGAGGAGGAGAAGGGAAGCAAGAGAGGAGGAGCGAAGAGAAGAGAAGGGATGCAAGAGAGAAGAGGAGGAGCGAAGAGAGGCGGAGAAGGGAAGCAAGAGAGGAGAGGAAGAGGGAAGAGAGGAGGAGGAGGCAGGAAGGAAGGAAGGTGGAGACCGCAGTGCTCTATTCAAAACGAGTACCCAACGCAGGAGGGTTGGGAATGATACCAATGATAAAACCATAATGATACTATAATTACCCTGCGACGTACCCAACCCACGTGCATCAAATGGCAAGAGGAGTATGCCAACATTAGCAGGAACAACGACAGTGTAGACGCGGCGATTTGCTGTGCAAGCTACATGGGATGCGCATGCGTTGCACGATTCACGGGGCGACGATCGAAAGAACGAGGCTTGAGGCCCCAGGATCGAAGAAGAACGGGCGCGGGAACGAGGGGTAGGAGAGGGATGGAATAGAGGGCGGGGGGGGGCGAAAGGTCGTCGCGGAAGCAGCAGCATGCATGGAGAAGGTGAGGCGGGGAATAGGACGACGATGAAAGTGGCGGGAGGAGACAGAAGACTGCCGCGTTTTTCAAGCGCGAGCTAAACCCGCAGCGCTGCCTGCGCCATGTCGTCGCAGAGTTCCACATGATAAAACTTGTTTAGAGTGCAAGGAACGAGCGAGGCGTAGCTCGCCCGCTAGCTTCTCCGCCTCCTTCCCGCACATTTCAGCGCGGGAGCTGAACGCTCGCAGGCGCGCCGCCAGGTCTGCGGGCGGCCCGCGGGAAAGAAACTCAAGGCCGGGGTCGCGTATCATCAATCGGTTGTCCATCGTCCAAAGTTGCACTGGCGACGTACTGGTTGAACGCGGAGCGAGCAGCATCACGCGCGTGCCTGAACGCCACGCAGGTACAGTGCACGCGCGATTGGGACTTCAGGTCGATCACGCGCGTCTCCACCAGGCTTGGCAACACCACGCGACTGAGGATCTCACTGCGGTCTGCCATGCTGCTGTCCGCGAATGCAATGCGCTGCCTGCAAGTAAGGCGGCGGCGTCCA